GCAGTTTAGGTATGTACCTACTAATTATTAGGAACTGTGTATCAACGTCATGTATTTTTCCACAATCGGCAAACAATTTCTTACATTGATGAATAATCGATTCTATACAATGCAGTCACGAAATAGGTACTCTAATTACGTACAGATTTTTACACTACCTAGTAATTATTACTTGACTTGCATTCAAATTTGGAATAGAAAGTGTGAGGTCACACATTTTTTCCGAACACGAAGCAGTATTATTCGTTGTATCAATTCCTATACAATAATGTTTCGGTTCAAAGATCATTACCCAGATAGATTCAGTTTGAAGACGTAGGACCGAACAATGCAACAGAGATTTATTATTTCATGTAATCAAATAAATCAATTCATTCTTTGATTGAATCATATACATACTGAAATCATATTATACTCACAAAGCAAGACTATATCCAAAGTGATACTTGTATAATAGTATAGTAGTCCTTGTTTCGCCATCTGTGACTGTGCACCCTACTTACTCTGCTGCTGTTGTTGTTGACTCCTTGTAGAAGATAAAGAAAGCCTCCTTTTAGAAGGATACGCAATCGGTAATATTTTATACTATGTAGTTTTCTGTATGTCTACGCCGTGTGATGGTAGCTTTAGTTGATGTGATTGCTAATGTATATGTAGATGTCAGTGTTTCAATTTGCCTTCGTTTCCTGATAGGAAAACAAACCATCCCAATGGGGCACTGAAGATATTTTGAAAATCTGCCTCTTGAAAGAAGAAATTATGATATATTTATTAAAATAATGATAAGTTGAATACTCTGATAATTTTGTGAAATTATCCAGTTATCAATATAGAGTTAGTACACAGTAGTGATCTATCTTGCTATTTTCGTAATGGTTTTATTATCTCGAAATTGGGTATCCCCTTGTGAATTTCCAAAAATTCTTAAAATAGTAAAAGTGTTAGTGTCCCAATCAAAGTTAATTTTCTTACTATGATTTATCAGAATATATGTGAACACCCTGTGCATACATCAGGATACCACTCTTTTTTTATATGATATAGGTATGTGAAAATGTGTATTTCAGTCCTAATCGAACTTGACATTGACCAAATTTAGAAAGTTTGTGGTTGGATTTGTTAGATCACTGCCAATGCCATGATATTAGTGAATTCCTATTCTTCATTGGCATTTATCTATAATCTGTAATATTAATATTAGGGCTGTGTCAAGTCATTCGTTCGACCACAGTGGTGATACCAAAATGGTCAATGGCTGACTCGACTTCCATTAGAAATTGATGAACTTTGTGGGCAATTTTGAAACATGACCGATATTACCAAACATCTGGCTGGTCAAACTGGTGGTCAGACTTCATACTGAACGTATGTGCCTGGTCAAACCACATACTCGACACAGCCTAGTTAGGTACCACTTGTCCACTGCATCAGGAACTTCAGAAATTCGAAAACACATTTTTACGCATGTCATAACGGACATTCAAAATTGGCGAAGGTACATCAATAATTTGGCGGATTTTTAATAATTTGGCGGATTTTAGGTATCTGTTCGCCAAATTTTCGCAAACAGAAATAGGATCGATGATCGATACGAACTAAAATTGGTTCTGAATATCGCTGTTCCCAAGCTTAATCGACTTTATCTGATTGGTAATATTCCAGAATAGTATCAAAAACTATGTAGAATTCGCTCTGAAATTACGGTTTATTTCATATATTAAACCTTTTGACAATATTGAGACATAATCGAGATTGCACTGAATAAATAATTCCTATTCAATATCAATCTGCAGCAACTTGAAATGGAAATGAATCAACGAGTAAGCATCTGATTCTTGATTCATGTGATTATGATTCCGAAGTTCTACTCAGTGTTTTTGAATATGGAACATTTTCATTAAACGTATATTCACGGTTATAGTACCCATTCTATTTTTTTATTTATGGAAAGTGCAATGTAATGTATGACCTCCAAGTGGTTCTTGCACCCGTTAGACGGGTATATAATGTGTTTTGCTTAATTTATACAATGTCAGATCTTTCCGGATTTTATTGGATCAATAATTACGAAGTGAGTGGAGACATGGATAATGAATAAATTACATTTCTTGTTGTATTCAGGCATTCCATAATCATTAATGTCTCATTAATATCATCGATATCACTATTTTCAGTTGTCAAAATAGGGTACCTAGAAGATAGATGGTAAATACAAAATTGACCGGAAAAAGTACCTACATAGGTAGGTCCATCATACAGAACATTTATTGAAAAGAGGAGAGGAAGGTCTTTCAGTAGAGTTGAAAATATGTGTATAGGGTCTCAATAAATAAATACCCTACCGGAAATTCGAACTTTCAGCTAGAAGAATACCTACAGTTGCAATTTCCCTTATTGGTTCAAGGGTATCTCCGATAATTTGGGCTCATGCTGGAACATAGAATATATTTTTTTAATTGCTTGGAGCGCACGAAAGGGAATCCCTATAATGTTCAAAGAACATCGTGCGTTCCTAGGGAGGATAGGGATAGGAGGTAGGTATTGGAATTTTTTTTGAACTTCTGGATATTATATGTTGTTGGGAATACTTCCTCAGGCAATGAATTCCAGAGCCTAGCCGTTCTATGGATGAAGGAATTTTGATAAAGTGCTGTTCGACATCTTTCGAGGTTGACAACGAAAGGATGTGCTGACTGGGCTTGTCTAGTTCGTCTGACTGGTATTGCTAGTGAAGGAATGATAGCAGAGATTTCCGAAGAACATTTCCCGTGGAAGTATCAGTAGAAAAGTGAAAGGTCGCCGACCTTTCTACGGTGTTCCAATGATGTCAAAGAGTGAGTGAGTGTGGCGTCACCCACCAGGCGAATGGCTCTTCTCTGGATGGAATCTGAGAGCATCAGCGTATGTTTTGGTGCTGAACCCCATATGTGGGAACAGTATTCTAGAACAGGCCGTATCTGCGCTTTGTAGATCATGAGAAGCTGTTGTATACTGGTACATAATCGATTCAACAACAAAAATTGTAATTGGATTATATTTTATCTATTCCGAAATAATAGTTTTTAACGAAGAGGAAAAACCCTTCTTGTGCTCATCTTCATGATTAGCACATCAAGCATACTAATGAGATTTCTATTCAACTCATATAATATAGGCGTATAGGTCGATGCCGTGTTGTAGGTACTTACATTGCAAGAGTCGTGATAAGTCATATTGTGGTAATGAAATTGAAAATTTTTTATAGGATATTCAATTCATGATATTACGTAATTGTTCGACATGAGTCAACCGTTATTGAAAGTGATACAATCTATGTACATGGTGAACCACCATAAATTCCCCCTTTCTTAATTTCTTGTTCCTAAAAATATTTGAAGATTCCACAAGCCAGTTGGTGGGATTTTTCTAAATCATTCCCATCAGAGTGTACTAATGAAAAACTGGACGGAACGAGGGAGAAATGAAGAGAAACTCTTGAAAAAAATGTTTTCATGATACAACCTGCCTATTCTGAGGAATTTAGTGGTGCTTTCACTCCCTGAGGTCAAATATTAAACGTAACAAACCAAAATTCAATTTTCTCAACGGAAACCCCTGATTAAATTCTGTAAGCTTTTGCTAACACAAAAATTAATATACCTTCTTTATCTAATGTCATCTTATCTTTTTTGTGACCCCAGACCAGAAAACCAATATTATGTGATGAATTAGTGCGATCACTCAATCAATTTGGATATGTATTCACTTGATGCTGCAAGAAACAACTGTCAAATATATTCTCACTGTATACAGGGTGTCCTGAAATTAGATTCTTTGATCAAAAATAGGAAGAAAAAATCCAATGGCACCTAAAGGAACAACTGCCATATTATAAAGTGATGCAATCCGGTACAAGAACTGAACTTATTATGCATAATGCAGTAAAAATGATATCACTCCGAAATTTCATTCAGGAGTGATTAATACAGGGTGGGACTACGTTAAATATTGCCCAAACTTTTCTGTATGCATATTTTTCGATAATTTAATCTCGAATTATAAAAATCCACACCGATTTACAGAATCAGATGTATCAATTTCAATTAAAATCGATTTAAAAATATGGTAACACCCACATCTTATGCATAACGTTGCCATTTTTCAAATCTTATACCCGAAATAAGCCTGCCATACTTTTTTTTCATCAAAAAGTTTTGTCATCTATACAGATATACGGGGTGCCCCGAAATCAGCCTGCAATACTTCAGTAGCAGATTCTTCGAACGAAAATAAGAAAATAATAAGTTCCTAAAAAGATACAGAACGAAAGTACATTTTTTCTGTAGAACGGTGTGGATTTTCATAATCCGAGATCAAATTGTAGAAAAATATGCATGCAAAAAAGTTTGAGCAATATTTATTGTATTACCACCCTGTATTGAACACTCCTGATTGACATTTTGAAATGATATCATTTTCACTGCATTGGGCATAGAAAGTTCAGTTCTTGTACCGGATTGCATCATTTCATCACATGGAGTTTCGGAAATATACAGGAAATATCATCTTCAGGAGCCCCATTCAAGGAGGTTGTAGCCATTTTTCAACTTATGTGTATTGGAACATTTCTTCCTATTTTTGATCGAAGAATCTGCTACTGAAGTATGGCAGGCTAATTTCGGGACACCCTGTATATCTGTATAGATCACAAAACTTTTGATCAGAAGAAACAGTTGAAGATAGCGTTTATCTTGTGATCATAAGGAATCGAAGATAATGAAAAATATATGATATATATAGGGTGTTTTGCATTTAAGAACATGATGGATTTATGATTTTCCACGCTTTCAAGGATCGCCCTGTATAGCTCACTAGTATTTGTTTCATTTCCTCGGGTTGGAAATAACATGAATACCTTTAATCGATAACCCTGAACCCATATTGAATTGGTTTTTTTTAGCCAAGTAATAGTTCTATTCGACGGTATAGGTCACTGGAGATAAATGATTGGATGATAGTCATTGGTCTTTTATTTTTTATTTTATAGATCTTATCAGTCTGATATCACATTCACTTTAGTACCAGCAAACTACTAACAATTATTATACACGAATAAATATAGTTGTTATTCAATGATATCATAGATGATCATGAAAAACTCCTGAATCAACATCCTTGTTTTTACATGACTTGAAAACAAAAAAATGATCAAATACTTTGATTTCGATATTGTGTACCCTTGAAATATTTATTTGTGCTCAGGAAACCCTCTGTTTAGTATTTTGTAAGACTTCTACGCAGTTGCCAACATCTTAAACCCCTTACTGCTAAAAATCAACCCCAACAACCCCTCTCATTGACTCTTGAAACTGAACTGAAAACCGTCAGGCGACCTATTCAAATTCAACTTCCCAGGAGGATAGAACCTGTGCGGCGACGGAGTGGTACTAGGCTGGTACTGTGGCTGATACTGTTGCTGAGGCTGGTACTGAGGCTGCGGCTGATACTGAGGCTGAGGCCGGTACTGAGGCTGAGGCTGCGGCTGGTACTGCGGCTGCGGCTGGTATTGTGGCTGCGGCTGGTACTGAGGCTGAGGTCTAGGCTGCGAGTACTCGGGAGGGTTGTACTGGGGCAGAGGCTGGTAGTTGGGTCTTGGAGCGACAGGTAGGGTGGTGGGGATAGGCTGCGGTATGCCATCTCCGGAAGCCATGAAGCCGTCTTTGCCTGCGGTCAGAGTAAAATTAAAAGATCAAGTTTAACTTTTTTTGCATTTCCATAATAATAATAACTGGAATAATGGTTCGCCTTGAAACAGAATTGTATTATTGTGTTTGTATTGCAGGAGTATTCAATTGAACATTTCCACTTATCACAAGTAGATGAACCAGAAAATTGGAAACTCGTTACCTGAAAAAACTGTCAATATATCAATGATATGACCGTTTATGAGACTGCATAGTGAAAAAGTACCTAGCTACCATTGAATGATACCGAATGATAAAATTGGATAGGATGGATTTGTAACATTTAGAATTAATTTATACAGCAACATTAGGTAAGTAATACCGTTCATCAAATTGTACCAAGAATTTTTCACCATTATACTGTTAATGTGTTACTTTTGCAATCTTCTCTATTTTTGATATTGGATTTTGATATGCCAGGTTACTACCCCATTGATATTGTTAGTCCATCTGTCCATGTAGAACAAATCTCGAAAAGCTTATGGTGTTGGGAAACTCCAGGAGGATATCCAGAGATACAGACTAACATTAGAGCAAACAAATGGTTTAATATAGTTGGGTAAATTATAATGGAGTATGAGATGTTCAATGTGGATGTGGAAAAGTAGGAGATGATGATAATTTTTCCTTTGAGTGCAAAAATAACAGACAAAATATCGATATATTATACCTCAGATTGAATAATATATTATAATAACATCCCCCGTTTCATACCAAAGCCTAATCAGACATCTGAATTTTCATCAAATTAAAAGTCAAGATAACATGATGGAATTGAGGCAGTATGAATGAGAAACCCCAACAAATTTTTGGCCTAAGGTCTCAATATGTACTTTTTGATATACTTGTGACATCATAGTGTGGGAATATTTATAATACCTACCGTAAATGTAATATAACATTGGCCTACTCGTGACTAATGGGAAAATGAGGGCTAATAACACCTAAAACACAAACCTACATGACCTGGTTAAAACCGCAAGAAGCCAGAAACATAAAATAAAAAGAAAAAGAAGAAGAGGACGAAGCCACTGTTCCTCCGGACTAGCTGATGGTATGCCCCTGGCCGTTGAAGTCCAGGTAGGAGTAGCTCCCTCTCCTGGTGCCATCACGAGAATCAAGGCAGTATGAATGAGAAACCCCTTCATATTTTTGACCAAAGGTCTAACTATGTACTATTTTATAGACTTGTGACGTCATAGTGTGGGAATCTTCGTAACACCTACCTTAAATGATTCTTAAATGTAATATACTCGAACTTTTACCAAACAATACAAATCTTATACCCACAACGAGTCAGAAAACCAAGAAACATATAAGAAAAAAAGAAGGAGAAGGAGAAAAAAAAAGAAGAAGAAGAAGCCACTGTACCTGCGGTGTAGCTGATGGTGTGCCTCTGGCCGTTGGGGTCCAGGTAGGAGTAGCTGCCTCTCCTGGTGCCGTCTGGGGAGCTCTCCTCTTTGAAGTTGACGCCATCCTCCTGCTGGTATTGGGCGCCGAAGCGTCCGTCTGCTTGGAGGTAGCGGTCCTCGGCCAAGATGGCCGCCGTGCGAGGGTCTCCATGGTAGCCTTGCCCACAGGCTGATGCTACTAGGGCTACTGCTACGACCTGGAAAAGTATAGGCAACGTTTCCACGATGTATAACCTACTAGATTGCACCTAGAGAGGAAAAAAAAGGGAGAGAGAAAGGAATTGAATCCGACATAAATGTGAGATGCAAAGAATTTCGTCCAAGGTCACGTGCCAACTAGACGATCACCGTATTCGGAGAAATATGAATAAATGAGTGTCGTATTCCTAAGGCGATTTGAACATTATTTTCTCTCATAATATACTACCCAAAATCATCTAACTACTTTGTAGAGCAGAAAAATTATCAAACACAATTCATTGGCCTACTACGATCACAAAAAGTCCAGGAAAATTCAAGAAAAATTTGATAATGGCGAATGATTCGGATTGGTCACAAATATTCCTACGAGTATATCAATTTTCAAAACAATATCGCGAATGGGTGTTTTTTATCAACGATATACAATTTTTGAATAATTGCTTCATTCAAGTCTCCGTGTATAATAATAAGATTGGATAATTGTTTTTTGTTCGACGAAGTGGATAATTTTGGGTAGTATACTATGAGAAAAAAAAAATCTGAAATCGTCCTAGGAAGGACAGGTCCATTAAAACCAAGTTCGATTTTGTAATTGAATGAGCTTCGATCTTATGGAATAAGCAATCTAGTTACTGATTTAGGTCGGTGAGAGAGAAAGATAAAGAAAATAAAACAATGAAAACAACAAAGTACCTAGAGAAAGGCAATGACCAGGTATCAGTTATAATCTCTCTAGTGCACTTGATTTTTTTCGTGGGTGGGGCTCTGAGAGTCAATTTATTCAGCATTCGCAGAGATAAATGTCATAAAATAGGAATCATCTTGTTTCACTCAAAAAACGAAATAAATGAAACAATATCACACAATAATTTAGTCACTTAGTGGTGTTACAGTACTCAATTCATGTGTTTATGGTGTTAAAATTTTCCGCTCAATAGATTGAACTCAGTTCACCCCTGATGATAAACAGGAAACTAGATATGTTTCAAATAAAACATTTCAAGGAGTCCTCACTAGTGTCCTCTTATTTCTATTGAATTTTCATTGAATTATAAGAAAGTTATTCTAAGAAAACCTATTTTCAGCAGTGTCCTTAAGGGGTAGTGATGGTAGCGAAAAATATAGGAACTTGTAAATATCATATTTTTAGGAACACCCTGTACACAAGTTCAATAATATGGAAATATCCGTTTTTAATGAATATTCTATAACTCCTCATGAGAAAATACTATGAAATGAATGGACCAGTTATTAACATACACTTCGCATTGGATCAAGCAACCACTGAAACAAAGAAACGCGAGTAAGGTCAACTAGATTCCACGGAAGTACGAACTTTTCCTTTCTCCATTTACACAAGATTCTATTGAAAATACCGAAGAATTTTGAGGTTTTCACTGATAACATGGATGTGAAAACTCAGTGAAGTGCGAGATGAGATCCCAAAAATCTACTCAAATGAAAATTTTGGATACTTACAAATTGGAACATGGTGCAGATTCGTTAGTATTTTCTACCAGGAAGGCAAAACTACTACTACTGCCCCCCTCAGGTGCCAATTTAGTTTTATACTGAGCCACAGCCTTGGTTTAGCCGACCCTGATGAACACTCCCTACAACAACAATATTCTGTTATGCTATATTATAGACTTTGGTGGATTATCTATCTATTATATAGTATACACAGATATTCACACATAAGATTATGGAAACGGATTTGGTAATAAGGAAATCTTGAATATGAAAATATCCATACTAGTTAGATATTCAAATTAATTTTCGTAGATTGAAACAGAAAATCGGGAAGTAGGAACGGATTTTTTTTTGGGAATTTTTTGGGTTGGTTTATTATGCACAGAAAAAAATGCTAGTTTACATTTGAGTATAAAGTTAGTCTTGAACAATCATTCTCAAAATAAGTGTTTTTACATTCGAATTGAAAGTATCTCTATTAAAAGAAGCCTACTCTCATTATAAAAACACAGATACTCTTGATCATCAAGATTAGGATACATTTTCTTGGATATTTTTTACTCTCAATCCAACAAAATAACTTGTCTGAAAACAAGAACAGATATAAAGTACATTTTGAAATTAATTCATTTTTTTCTAACAAAATGCAAAACTTGCGTCAATAGATTCTATCGTTAATTTGCTATTATGTCAACATTGATTTAAAATAAATGCATTCTTCTAACTAAGATATGCATTCTTAATTGTAAGGAACATACTCTTTATCGAGAAGTTCCGTTCATTATATCAAGAATAACTATTGTTATGGTTAGAATCAAATAAATCTCATATGAATATTAGTTACAATTTCACCCAAGAATAGGCTACTTTTGATCCGAATGTCATATACTTGGATCACAGATTAGCTAAACTTCAAGGCAGACCAAGAAAAATTCGTTGGTAGAGAGGGGGTATTGCAGGTCGCGTCATGTCCTATCTTGCGTCGGTCGAGGACGGGACTCGGGAAGTCGGGACAGTTTTTGTGAGGCAATAAGCCGCGGAAAGGTAAACTGAACAACAAACACCTATTTAGTTTTGCCGGTGATTTTGTCGTTTATGGCAATGGAAGTGTTGAAAAATATGGAGGAGCTCTTACGAGAATGGAAACTGGAAGAATTCATTCCATTATTCAACGGTAAGAAGTTTGTTATGAAAAAAAAAAACATGGCGACCAGTGAGCTGATGGTGCCTGGTCATAATTATTCCTCGGTATCAGCGTTGCACCAGATTCTGTGGCATGTGTTAGTTCGCAAATTGAAAAACTAAAAATGTTTCTTATATATTATTCCTATAGCTAGTAGAATAATGGATAAAGGTAACAGATTAGATTATTCATAATGATTTGCCAGGTATATATCCAGACTTTTAGGAAAATCTAATTTGCTCATCAGCAAGTTACTAGATAGGTAATATTGTTAGTTTTGTCATACCTGTTTATAATTATAATATTCATAGTACGGTCACTCGATTTATAATACTTAATTATCATGCAAAAATTACAATATCAATATGCAGATTGACAGGAAAGGTAACTTATAATATTCATCAACATTTTTTCATGCCTTGCGACTATATTTTCTACTGCAAAAATGTCAATCAAATACATATTACGATTTTCGATACAAGTTCGTTGCTTTTTCTAGGACATGAAAAATCGGAACACAATATGTCAATGCTATCCGAAGATTTGATTAAAGAATTAATTCCTAGTATAGGAAAACGAATGATGTTCCTTGGAAAATGGAGGAAAATGCGAAAGAAAAATCATCGGTATGTATACATATATTAATATTCATCTTTACATACGTAGGTAATGTAGTTATACAGGGTGACCCATTAGTGCGAGAAAGTCCAATATCTTCGTTATCATTGGAGATACATAAACAAAACTCATATAATTATGTTTCAGGGTGAATAGCACGAGCAGCAAAATGTCAGTGCATCTTCTAATTACGATGCAGAAGAAATACAGAACATTGCTAGATCAAGAACATTTCTATATTGAGCTGAATATCCCTAGAGCTAAATAAAATGTAGATGAAATTCGAACGAATACAAATTATTTTGAGCTCGACTTATCATAGTCTTTAAATAATGCTTCTTATTCTTGCATCAAGCATACCTACCTATTTTTGCTCTGAGAATGAAGAAATGGTTCACTTATTTGAAGTTTTCTTAGCTTTCCATCAAGTGTGGAAAATCATTGAATATGAATGTAACTTAAGTTATTTTGATTTGATTAATTCTTTGTTCAAGATGAAATTGAAGCTACGATCAATAATTCTTATACTTATGACAAGTATTTATCATTCACAGGGAAACTAAGAATCAATTTGCTGGAAGAATATACTATATTTAATCATATTTGGCTTGCTTTCAATTGGAGTTTTGTTAAGGTTTAGAATAATTATTGCTATACTTAGGTTAAGTTCACTATTGATTATTACCAATAAAATGTACAGATCGGTATGAGAATAACGTGCATTTCAAATTAAGTATAGTTCTCATTGCGGATATATGAGTCTAACTTACATTTCAGTCAAGACTACTATTCTAGCATATAGTATATATTTTTTTCTGTGTGCGTTCCGTATAGAAATTGAGATCGAAATATTGGAGAATGTTCATGTCTCCTAAGAGTGCTTTCTTCATCAATTCATTGCCTGAATAAGAAATCAAGTCCTTTTCGTTTGTCTTGATGTGCCGAAGAATAAGAAGATATGATTTATTTATTCAAAGATTTTTCGAAAGGGACAATATCATAAAAAGTTGAGACACATATATACATTGGGGTATTGGCTTTTTGCCTCTCTCTCAAAAATCACCGACATAACTTCATTTCCCATTAAATAATTAACTATGTTATAAAAATAAGTTTTTCGCCATCACGATGCTTCAAAGTATTTTTCCACGTGAGTACAACCATCTTATCTTTGGTTCGTCATTTTGTTATCAGAATTTTTGATTTGATTGAAAAAATTTTGTTTTTTCACTTTTTCACTTTTTACCATCAATTACTGATCAATCATCATTGTTATACTTATAAAAATCACCATTGCTCTTTTATCCTACTGAAATTTTTGAATCAATTCAATTTTGCATTTACAATTTTTGTTTTTCCATTTCAATTTCTTCTTGATATAAAATCATATTTGGTTTTTCTATTGTAGATACACTTTGTTGCTAATTTGACTGAAGATGGCCATTTGAATGACCGAAACATGTATCAAACCTTATTGAAGCAGGATTGACTGCCTCCTTTGACATTAAAATTGTGGAAACGACTTTGAGTTTTCTTTCTTGATCATTCCACTCCACTTCGAGTATGGACTACTACAGAAGATACAAATATACAGCTCTAAGCTTTCAGATAATTATGATAAGAGTCTAGCAGCCTTGAAAATTTACACATTTTAGTTAGACGATTTCATAATAATCTACATTGAAAGGAAGCTTTGAGGAACCTGTATAGTGTATAGCCTTTTCCAAATCTCTGTACCTATATCTTAACAATCTTGAATACATGAATTTAGGAAACATAATAATATCTCGAAAATATTTTCTTTTACTCTCGTCAAAGATGAAATAAGTCCCTATAGTTTTATTTCCATATACTATTGTGAAACGTGTATATTGAATGCAGAATTTGAGAGGCAGAAAAATTTCGGTCGATAGCCATTTAGTTATAAAGTTGTTATTATATAATATATAATATGATCAATATAGTACGTACCTATAATTATGATCATTATTATTAAAACATGTTCTTCGAAAATCATAGGAATTTCCTTTCGTGCGATCCAAGAGTTAAAAAAATCGTATAAGCTCATCGGTTTATAGTGAAAGCAATAATTATTATAGATATGTCTGGCTACACCAACAACACTTATGTGTATTAATAGTTGCCTATACTCAGAGTGAATTTCGATGTTCTGCTCTTATGAAATTAAATACAGGACTCTTTATGGTTTCTTTCATGAAGTATATTAGGTTCATTGCTTCTCGTCTAGATGGTGCAAGACTTTTGAAGATACATGATATGTTGGTCATGCTATTGTTTGGAGACTGTGGATAATTGATCACATACAAACAGGTAGTAAGAAGTCTGAAAATGTTTTTCGGCAACTAAGAAAGGCTACAGTTGAAAAGAGAATACAGATTAGCTATTCTTAGATGGGACTGAGATGTTTATAAGTAACAGATGAGACCTGATCATGTTCTAAATATATTGGGTAAACTCACCAATACATATGCACACGATTTTAAGAACATATTTCACACTTCAGATATGATCGGATCTATGAATCAAGTGTAGTTCAACATAATCTTGGAACTAGTTAGCCCATTGATTCGAATAATTCAAGATTTGAAAATTTAATTGAAAAGAGCAACGAATGGTTCAATTAGGAAGTCTGATGTCTCTTTAATGAGCAACGCATTTACGTCAAAAACATTTTCAGAACCAGACTTTTTCAATCTCTTTATAGCTGTTTGTACTTCTAATGCGGTAGTTGGGGCTAGGAAAAAACGAAACTTTGGGGATGACAATTGTTTCAACAGATCAGAATTAGTAAGAGTGAAATTCGGTGAAGTTTTAATAATATTTTCAGCAATTGTACTGAAAAATATGTTGAAGTCGTCAGGACTGAAACCTGTTATTTCGTTTTTATTCGATTTCTTATTGAATTCAAAATTGACGATACGTCACCTATCTTTGGATATATTAGTAGAATTTGATAGGAAATTATCATAGGCTGATTTCTTCGTTGATGCTATAGTTTTCGTATAATCTGTTTTCAGATTTTTGTATACTAACCAAGTTTCGGATTCATTCGTGTTGTTTGCGACTATTTTAACTGTCGACAGAATTTTCCGTTTGTTTTTCAGTTCTTCATTGAAACAATTTACCGGTGGTTTATTTGAGCGACATTTTCTCAAGGGAAAATGTTTATTTACCAACGCACTGTATGTGTTTATGAGCCAATTAACAGATTGGTTTACATTGTCCAAATGATCGTAAACTAGATTCCAGTTAGCTTGACTTATTGAGTTTCTATTTGAGAAATGCCTTGTAGATTGTAGTTGTAGATGGGTCGTATAGGCTGGGAGACCTCTCGATCACTGCGACCTAGCAGATCTATTGTGATTACCCCTATCTAGTTTTGGTCCTCTAAC